TGAGAAAAGCCTCTTCATACATAGTATTTCAGATAATTGAATAAAACTTCTTCTTTCATAGATTTGTATTTATTTCTCTTAAGAGATCTGAGAGTGATGCAGATATTTATATGAAATTCTTGATAAATCTGTGATAATATGAGATTAACTTAAGAAACTATTATATATAATATATGTTTCTTAGCTGCAATTAATTTACTATGATATTCAATTTTTTCAGAATAAGATGTATACAGTTATTACTCACTACATATTCTACAAACTTTAACTCTTCTATTTCAAACACATACTTTGTTAATTTAATATAGAGCTTATACTCTGTCAGAGTTATAAGCACTTCATTGAGATGCTTCAGATATTCATTATATGAGTTTGAAAAGACTAGAATATCATTGAGATATATGAGATATGAGGTTTTATTCTGTTTATAAAGAATTATATTTGTTATTATTTGAAAGATAATAGATGCATTTATCAGACTGAATAATATTATCAGAAATTTGAACTTCTCTTATTATATATTAAATATGATTCACAGAACTGATAGTTCATCTATACAGATTTATCAGTATTCTGAGAGAAGATCAATCTTCAATAGATATCAGATATTTTTAACTATATTCAACTGTTATTAAATCTGTGACAGTGAATATTTATTCTTAATTATAAGCTTATTAAGTGTTTAATAATTGATATACATCTGTCACTCTTTACTCATCTTTTTCATAAATAGAACTGGAAAGTCTTATACACTTAATAAGAGTTATATAAGACTATATTCTAGAAGGTCTGTGATCTGACACTTCTGTTCTTCAAGATATGTTTGTGACAGAGAATACATATTCTGATTGACTGATTTCACATTCTCTGTATCAATCTCATATATGAATTCTTATTTCAGCAGTAATTCTGATAAAAGATCTGTTCAGAAGATCTTTTCATACTTCTTCAGAAGCTTCTTTATACACTTATTCTCTTATATATTCTTTATCTTAGTTTTCTCTGCTTTCAGATTCTATATAATATACAGAATACTTTTAGATGAGATCTTGTGAATTATTCTCTTTACTTATTAATGTATAAGCAGATTTAATTCTTCTATATCAGAGATATGAAATGTTCTTCTCATATCAGTTAATAGAATTGTATGAACTGTTTTCTTTCTATTAATTAACTGTATATAATATGTACATTATTGAATCTGTGAATTAAATCTTTGAAATCACTTAAGTCTGAGAATAAGATTGTATTTCACATTCTGCAGCTCTTATACTTAAATATAGTAAGATTATTCTCTGAAGTACAAGAAAACTCTTACTCTTATAGATAATATTAAATATTAATTATTAGATAATCTTATATATTAGAGATTCTTTACTCAGTGAATCTCTTTCAGTCTTCAGATTATATAATTATTAATATATTATATAGAAGCTTCTATATCTGCTAATACTTTTACAGCTATCTCTCAATTCTTATTCAAGTGTCTCTTATACATTAATATTTTAGATCTCAAGATATTGAGATGAGTATCTACTTCATTATTCTCACTCACATCTTATTCAGAAGCCTGCTTTCTCTTAATATTCACAGAATTCAGAGAGTTATTTAATACAGATATTTCTTTCACTTTAAAGACTTTATATAGAATATCAGTGAGTATCTCTGAGCTCACTGATTCTGCTAGTTTTTTAACTCTCTTACTTCTCTTAACTGTGTATACTGTGTATAATCTTTTATATCATGATTTTGATATCTGTAGTTGAAGTAAGCTCAATACTTATAATATCAAGATTTTCATTCAGAGAATTTCTTTTTTAAGAGATTCAGTGCTTTAGTAATAATATTCAGATCTAGATTTATTATATCTGAGTATATAACTTGTGTTATAGAAGTCTGATTATCTATTCTTTACTGAGATATACTTAATTGCAGTATTTTCTATTATAATTAACTTACTTGTTTTTATATAATAAGAATATTATATACTTTCTTCACTGTATCTGACTGTGAGATTAAGTATTTTCATTTCACTCTCAACTCAGATATAAGATTATGAATAAAAATCTATAAATAGAAAGATGTTAAAAGCTCTTCATTCAATATAAGATAGTATAAACTGAAGTATATAAAGTATAATATAAAATTACTTACTTATCTATGCTCAGTGAAGTATTTATAATACTTATCTTATATATTCACTTTCTCAAAGTTATATAAGATTCATTTGAAAAACTCATTTCATATTTATGAAAATGAATATTACTCTGAGTCTGTGAGATTCATCTTTTTATTAGTTATTTATAATGACTTTACTTTTTCATGTAGAAATATAACAGATCTTAAGACTTATTAAAATTCTGTTAACTATCTATCTGTAAGTTTGTATTCAATCTGATAATATAATTATATCTGACTTAGTCAGCTGATTACAGCATTATTTTTTCAGTTATTATTAAAACTTAATAACTCTGACAGATCTTTTAACTTGATATATTTCATGCTCAGATTCTCATTCTACACAGTGATCTCTGATAATATATATACTTTTGAAGAGATTGTGAATAATTATAATAAGATCTTCAGATTCAGTGTAGTTATTTATCTATATAAATATTTAATCTTTTGCTGCAGATCTAAGATCTGATTTTCTCTATTCTTATTAATAATAATGATTGTATTAATGAAGCTCTTTATAGTGAATACTTGATCTGTAGTAAATATCAATTATTATTTAACTTTTATCTCAGTCTGTCACTGTGTATATAAGATCTTGATTTTATTTAGAATTCTTGTACATGTACAGAGCTTTGATTTCAGTTCAGTAATCTCAGCTACTTTTCTTACTATTTTAAGTAAACTCTCTGAGAGATTCTACATATCTTCTGATTCAGATAATAGAGAAGAGTGTTATTTATATTAACTAGAGAAGATATTCATTTCAGTGATTTCTCATTAATTGTATAATATCTATTATTATATTATTATCTTATTATATTACTATATCATTATATTACTATATTATTATATAATTTCTGTTATTATTGTATAACTCTGATAATAATCACTTCTCTCTTTTTATTCTTCTTTTAAGTAGAGAGTGAACTTCTTTGAATCTGATTTACTACTCTTATTCTCTTTCTCATATCTTATCTATTTACATACATGGCATTTGTCTGAATATGAAGTTTTCTCTTAACAAGTGAAGCAGTATTAATCAAATGCTCTTTTACTCACTACTCTTTATACACTATCTTTTGAGATATTTTTAGAATCACACTGACATGATAACTATGAATTACTTCATAGACAGAATTATCATGCTCTGAAGAAGTCTGTACTTCTCACCAGTTTTTAGACATGCTATCAGATGTGATTCAAAGATTGCTTGAGTCAGTATATAATTACAGATATATACTGACTTCTTATATACTGTACACTAAATTAATTGATGGCTGCTATGATCTCTTTACATTCATAAGCAAGTTCAGAAGCGGCCGTGTTATTATTCAGTGATAGACTGATTATGTGACTATGTCTAAGACCAGAACCAGATTTTTTAATAGTCTTATTACTAATTCAACTGAGCTCATTACACAGTTTTAACATTAGATAGTAGTCTTATACTGTTTTAGTAAAACTTACTGTCTACTCTTATTACATTTTTCAAATAAGATCATGATTTTCACTTCTTAATTTAAATTATTTTTATTGCTTTAAATGACTTTAAATCTTATTTAAGTGTTATCAAAAAGTGTTACTTTTTAAAAAATTAAAAATAGTCTAAAAAAAACCTTAAAATGTCTAAAAATAGTAACTTTATACTAAGAATGAGACTAAATGAGATCAAATAAGATCACTTTCTCATTTTTTTCAAGTCATGATTTCATTTTAAAATCTGATATATAGTCACTTTACATGTTTTTTTAATAGTCAGTCTCAGCAGGATTCACATCAAGAAATGTATGAGACCAGATCAAATGAGACTAAACATGAAATTCATGGTCCCGGCGGCCAGTCTATCCGGCGGTCATACGTTCTTCCGAACCACACTACTGAAGTGAAAGAAAAGTATATAATCACTTATATTTGAAAGATTTGTATAGAAGAATTGATTATAAAAGCTGTAAATTCATTTTTCTAATTCTTCTTCTTCTTTTTACTTATTAATCATTTTATCATTTCTCTTGTTTTTTATCTCATTGATAATCATTAGTTCATACAATCTGTATAGAATCATTGAAATGTGAGGCTCAGAGGTAGAGATTTATAAATATCAAGAATTCTCAGACTGAGTTTCTATATTCTCATTCACCTCCTCTATCTCATCATTGACCAGATCCTCTCCATTATCCGGAACTTCTGAAATAGGTAGTTTGAGAAGACAGTGCAGAGTAGGAGCCTTGTATAAGCTTGTGAAGCAACAGAACAGAAGAAGTTGCGAGGCATATTGAAAAAAGAGTTGATTGATATATGTGAATTTGATGATAAAGGTAAGAAAGACGCGTATTTGAATGATATTTGATTGAAAAAGACACATATTGAATGATAATTGAATGATTCTAGAGAAATGTTGATTTTTTGATTCTTTTGCAGTTGTTTTGCTACTAATTTTCAGGGTGCTGGGAAAATTCTGTTTTCGCAAGCAATTCGTCCGCCACAATATAACTTAGTTATATAACTAGAGTTTTAGTGCGCACCGATCGGCTCGGCATCGGTATATATCGAACCTCGCGCGTGGCCAGATGGCCGCCTTTGGGGGCGCACCATGACTGAATGACTACCCAATCTACCCGGTATAGGTATACAGGTCAGTGGTGTACTGTACTGTGAAGGGCGTAGATTCGACGAGCGGGGGATTGACGTGCGATAATGAAGCACGGCAGGCGGTGACCTGTGTGGATTTGCATCTTGTGAGGTAACTAATAACCGAGCATGCAGCGTGTGTCTCAGCAAGAGCAGGATCACTAGGCAAAGTTTTGGGGGAGATATTGTAATGAGGAGATCGGCGACATGCGTTGCTACCCTTCTGCTCTCATGGCAAAATAAACATGCGGAATCTCAGTAATATAATTGATTGCCTGCCTGGATAGTACCGATTATCGCCATGCTCTATCACTGCTGGCGCATTGTACAGTATATTTCAATATGGAACTAACTAGTTAATGTTGTCAATACATCAGATTATGACTTAAAACTTCTGTTATATCCGATGTAGCCGAAAAGGCGATTACAAGTAGAGTCAAATGGAAATAAAATAGATGAAAATCACAGATTAAGCCCTAAAATCGGTCGCCAAATTAATCCCCAATTCCCACTCCAACGATACCCTGATTGTGGAAGGGAGAAAAAAAGGAGAAACAACTCATGTCCACTCTCCCAGAAGGAACATCCCGCATCTAACTAACCCATACATTTGCTCATTTCAATGCACACCCCTCTACCCCCCAAAGCTTCGCACCGGCAATACCTCTGAAACACGCGGCACAGCCCACCAATCATGCCAGCGCCCCTTCGAGCCAACAGGTGGGACGTCAACGGATAGATTCAGTTTCGGCCGTTGATCACCATTTTCATCGCTCGAAGCAGAAATAGCCTTCTTCACCGTGCCAATGGCAATGCTCGCCCCAATACACGCGCGCAGCGAATCTTTCATATCACCTATCCAGTCATCCTGGAGCAGTCGGGGTGCGGGTTCAGGTTCAGTTTCTGGATTGGCACACTTATCCTTTCCGTCCAGCTTGTTCGGTTTGCTCTTACTCGCTTTCTCACCAACGTCGTCGTCGTCATCGTCGTCGTTGTCACCAGCATCACCATCCTGCTCGCCAGCGCGATCGACCCCAACTTCCAAAAACGCGCCGGCCGCCAAACACTTCTCGATCCCCCTTTTCGCCTCCGCAACGGCCCGCAACGCCCTCTCCAGAACGACGGCGTCGCTATCCCCGACTAACCCCGCCTCCTGCTCGAAGGTGTCGAAGGGGACAAGCTCCGGTAGCGGGATGGCAAGGAAGGGTTTCATGCGTAGTTCGTAGCGGAGACGGTCGGAGGAGTAGGTGGGGTGCTGTCTTTGGGTCTGCGTCTGTTTATGTGCGGAGAGAGTGGAGGAGGGGAGGTATATCGATGGGAGTAGCTGGTGGCGGGCTAGGAGGACGTAAAGGGCGTGCAAGGCGATGGCGAAGGCGTCGATGGCGATGAGTTCGGTTGTGAGTCTGTCGAGCAGGGAGATTGTTTTCTGGAAGGCCTGTCGGTGCTGCTCTGCAGCGGTCGCGTTGGAATTCGATTTAGGGTTTTGTTGCATTTGTGTTTGTGATGGGGATGGTGCGGTTCTCTTATTTGCAGCTAGTACACAAGAACGGATGCGATCGAGGTGAGCGAGATGTGTTGAGCAGAGGTGCGAAAGGTACCAGTACATCCCTGGCATTTCTTCGGGGGAGTATATCGAAAGTTCGAAGCCCAGTTGGAGGATGAGACGGAGCTGGCGGAGCTTTTCATGATATGCCCAGCTACTTAGCGGATAGGCGTAGGTGGGTTCGCTGCCATGGAGGATAATGTGTGGCTCCAAAGTTAAAGTGCGCAGATGGACATCGAAATCTTCGGCCTGAGGGGTTCGAGCGGGTGAGAAGGATGTCACGATCGTGGTTGAGGTAGATCTAACGAGAATGAACATACCTCTGCCTGTAGCGCATCCCAATCAATAATGGAGTGGCAGAGCGTGCGGCGAACTCGACACCGATTCAAGCACGCAGTCCGATAGGTATCGACAAACGGCTATATAATGTACCATTAGAAAATCAATACCAAAAAGGCACAAAATAAACATTGATAAAACCATAGTCGAATTATGATCAGGTCCCCTTACCTGAGCAGCCTTTTTAACGAAATTATTCATATGCTTTGCGATCTGAAACCGGGAATCCGACGGTGCCTCCACTTCCTCATTCTTGCGGTCCAGCAGCTGGTTATAGGGCAAGACAAGTTCAGCAAGACTATCAAAGAAGAAATCTTTCACAGCCACCGAGCCTAAGATCTCCATATCATGTACGAGAAGCGACTGAACAAGAGATCGGATATAGACGCATGGCTGCGGTTTGCGAGATTGCAACGTCCAAACCAATGTCTATTCCAAAGGAAGAAGGGGGAAGATAAATGTGATTTGTTAGTGAAAAACAAATGTAATACAGATGGCCCCTTATCCAACGATGGATAGGAATAAGTAGAAAGGGGGATTAAATAAATAGGTAAACATACCTGTAAATTATAAGGCCCCCGATATTCCAAAATCTGCTGCACATCCACCGCATCCTGACAAAACCGCGTCATGTGCGCAATAGCATCTGCGGCACTAACATGAACCATCGGCCTAGGTGGCACGGTACTTGCCAACCGGCGCTGGATCTTCAAGCTAAACGCCTCTGGCACCGGTTTGCCCAGGTGCATCGACTTCTCGATTCTACCAAGTTGACGAAGAGCGGCCAGGAAGGGCTGCGTGGACCGCTGTTTGGCAGGCACCGTATCCATATCTAGACCAGAGAGGAGCTCTCGGCGGAATAGAAGACGGTGGACGAGAGCTTCGAAGAGAGCGTTGTCAATGGTGTCCTTTTGTTCCTGCCTCTGCGTTTCCAGCCAGAACAGGGCATCGTCGAGAATGGCCTGGATACTCGCTGATTCGACATCGGCGAGCAAACTGCGGTTATAGAGCTGTGTGACGAAATCCTCTTCCTATTGTACCCATTTTTCCATTTTACGGAATAAAAAGTTAACCATGTCCAACCCCTCAAACCCTACGCGGTCCCCTCCCCTCCCTTTCCCGAAAAGACGTCCGGCTTTTAAAACTCACCTCATGAAAATACTCCGAGCTGACTTTGTAGTTTACACGGTCACACGCCTTAATGAGGGCCAAGCAATACGCCCTCAACACAAGATTGACGAGTTCATCCCATTGGCCCTCAGAACAGCCCTCCGCTTTCCCCTGCCTTTCCTCTTCACTCCTATGATCCGAGTTCGCCTGCTGCTTACTAGCCGAACGGTCAAACCTCGCCTCCTCCAATGACTTGGGAACGGGCCACAGCATCCGATCGAGGTATATAGAAGTAAACAGCGTCTGTGGGAGGGGATGGCCGGAATGCCAGGCAACCTAAACATATGATCCAAAACATTAACAAACCCCAGCCCAAAATCCTGTTTCCATATCCCATATCCATATCCATATCCCAATTAGAATCCGTCCTTCTAGTTCGAACACTGAAAATATATCCGATAGGTATTAAACGCACCTCATGGCTCAAGAGTTGGTCCATAATCCCCAAGACTTCCGCTGGGAGTAGCTGCCGCCGGACGTCGTAGTCGTCATCTAGTGTTTCGCCGGGCGCCAGGTATCCGCTGTCCATTTTCTCATCCATGATCTTTTCATATATATATTCATAGTTAGATAGATAGGTAATACTACTTTAACGCGCATGGGTCATCCAGGTGCGGAGAAAAAAAAAAAGGGGGGGGGGGGTGGCCGATTTCTCTCATAGAGGGGGTACGGCGGGGGACAAAAATCGGTGCCCGGGTATTTGTAGTAGAGGGTAATCTGAATCCGTATAAATAGCAACGTATACAAAAGACGCACCTCTAGCGCCCCCACTGCCTCAAATAGCGTGAAGAATTCATCCTTGACGAGCTGGCCGGTGTTCAGGACTACAAACCGCATGGAGAGGAAATTGAGTTAGCCGCAAATGCTCATCATCGTGGACGAAAGCGGAGAAGGGTAGGCAATTAGGGGATAGAGTATTCATTCTTGGTTACACACCTGAACTGGCCTTTGTGAAGGCGGCGGTTATATCTTTCACGGACATCCTGCTGTCGAAGACTATAAGCGGGGAAGTCGAAGTGGTGGTGTTTGGGCGCATGGTGGTGGGTGGTTGTGGCGTAAAGAGTGACGAAGATGGGGGAGCCCGATTAAGCCATGATTATGTACAGAGGCAGCGATAAATAGGAAATCAATAGCAGACGATGATAGATGTGATATTGTACAGATGATGTGATGAATAAATGGCTGGTGGTGAGAGCGTTGGGAGGAGTACAGGACGTTGACATTGGGTTGAAAGCTACGGGCGGGGAAACCGCCGAGAAGCAATCGGGACACGACGAGCAGCAGGCATACGGTTACGGGGGATTCAACCGGCCCTAGTTGTTATTATGCCCGGGAAAATAAATGGATAGGAGGTTCCATACCCAATTGATAGACTAATCTAGCTATAAAGCCATGTATTCTCTTACAGAATGGCATTTACGGTGTACTCTCCGAAGGCGTGGGTAAAATAAATATTTACCTAGCCAGTTTCACCACATATATACGTAGAGATAGAAGAGACTCCTCTTGCCAATCGCAAGCACCAGTCCTCGAATTGACCAAATGAGATATAAATCAATTGACATATCGACCAGTGTACTATATATGTACAAGAAAAAAAAGATTTGGGGAGGGAAAGATGTGATCTTGTTTGCATCAATCCCACACGGTAGCAATTCTATCAACCTCCACCGTCATCACCTCATCGTCGTATTTAACCCCATGATATACCCCATCCCATGTCCATCGATCGATCCATCCATCACCAAGGAGGAATAAGAACAGTCTATTTCGACGCCGCAGCCGCAGCCGCAGCAGCCGCAGTCTCTACCTGCGCTGCGGCAAGATTCTTCACTTCGCCTTGTTTGCCATCCTAAAACAGATAAACAATTAGCAAATCCATCATCCGTTCACCCAAGCCACTATCATATCTCAATTCTCTCTGTCTTCAACCGTTCCCCAAGCACCCCATCCCGAAACCCCACCCCCCACCCCCCCAATATAGACAGCAAACACTCACCTCCCACTTCGCAAACTTCAAATCCATCTGACCACGTCGCTCGGCCTGGAGGCGGGGCTCTTCCTTGAGAGATCGACGGACGGCACGGGCGGCAACAGCGAGGTAGCGGTTGTAGCTGTGTGTTGGTTAATCAATTGGATATGCTGTTAGCATATTTCCCCATGCTGCGGGTGGTAGAAACATGTTGGGGCATGAATGATTTTGATTTGCGGGATGGAACGGAAACAGGTAGATTGAGTGAGAGTCAAAACGTACGTGAGCCCGGCGGCCTTCCACGCAAAAGCCATGGCTTTTTTTGGTTGTGGGTGGTTTTTTTCGGTGGGACTGGGGAGAAAGGAAGGGGGGGGAGAGGAGGTAGGTAGCGTTGGCTGAGATGTCGCGGGTTGAATTGGATTTCAATTGAACTGTTCAAGACTTCTTTCTTTCTCTTTGACGCCGATGAGGATGGAAATGCAGGAAGGGCAGAATCTAATCCTTTTTCGGTTAGTGTGATTGGCCCTGGTTTGAACCAACTTAAGAAATTCAACTTCCGCAAACCAACAACTTCTCCGGTATCCGGCAACGGCAATGTGAAAATTTATCCATGCGCCTCTAGATATGTTTCTTCCACTGGCAAGGTCGCAGGCTACTGAAGGACTTAGGCTTGCAGGCGGAAACCTCTCCTCCCGCAAGTCCTAGTGCCATATGCCTCGCCACACTCCCGACCACTATGGATCATGTCACTGTTTATAAGCTGCTCTCTTGTTCGCAGAATGCAATAGATCATTACAGCAATTCGGGGTTCAAAATTCAAATTCAATAATTAGATGTATGTCCGCACGTATATATGCCTTGTGTGCGTAGAGATTTAAGATGGGACACTGAGATGTCTATAATATTTAACACTTCGACCAACTAATAGGGTGTAGGATAGGTGATACTCTCCAACCATCAATCTAGTGGGGAGAATAATTGCCCATGAACTTAAAGACTTTGCTGGAAATCTATCAATCAAGTAGGGAAATATAGTTTATAGTGAGGGAAGAGAGAAAAGAAACAGGGATGATAGAAGAGTACAGGAGAAAAAGATTGAAGACAGCCCCAATGCCGTGCCAAACCGTACTTTATTAGTAACCCCCCCTCTAATCGGTCTCTTCGTGGTCCTGGAATGGCCAGAAATGTTCAACACACAGGACATCCTCTTCATCCTCACCCTTGTCGATCCAATGTTTCTTCAACTGTTTATTGACCTCCACAACTCTCTCAAACGACTCATTTCTTACCCATCCATCTTGGCCAACGTCGTCCAAAAGCGAACGCCAGTGCTCCACGAGGAGATTAGACTTGAACCAGTTCTCTTCGAATTGATAAAAATCCTTCTCATTATCCGGGTCAAAGCGGACAGGGCAGGGAGCTTTCTGTAGCCTAGTCGACATGAGAGTATCCCAGCTATTGATCACCCTGAGCAAGGCACCTTTGAGGGTAACGACGTTACCGCTCCAAGGTCGGCCAGGCCTATCCAGAAGATGTTGGGTGAGCATGAGCATTGGATAGCTCAGAGCGTTAAAATGAGGTTTGTTGTCCTTTGCGTTGAAAATCATATACAAGTAGAACAGCATTTGCCGTCGGTACAGCTCGTCAGCTTGAGATTTCTCCTCCGGCCCAATGATCCATAATCCTCCGACAGGGTGGGTTTAGTGTAATCTTTGGGAGGTTCTGAGTCTGGGTTTCGAATAGTGGCGGATTCCCTGCGGCTAGCAACAAAGGGAGGATGGTAGTGTGTTGCCAATCGATTATACATGACACTTCGCACGAGTCAGAGACATAGATATTTGTCGGGTTGAGATCTAGTTTGTCGGTTAGCCTGGATGCGCAGAAAGAAGTGTTGAATCGCACTCACCTGGATGGCGCATCGTGGGCTGATTCATGGAATGCGCATGGTCCCCCGGCAAGAGGTATGGACAAATAGAAAGATACTTGTCTAGCAAATCCACGTATATCGCAGGTGCGACTTCTCCTTCGAGCATAGTATTCTGGGGAAAATCGTTGGTCTGAGGTTTTCCATATTGCTAGTCCATTCCCTCTCCTTCCAACCGATGGAATAGAGATAATCGCGATGATTTCTCCCTGTACAAAATCATTGGTTAGTACATATGTTAATACCGCATCCGAACAAAGAAGAGGCTCACAAGGGCCCCTATTTAACTCAAGTTGTGCACGCTTTCCACGCCAAAACATATATTCAGCGGTGGGGCCAATGCAAAATCGGCGAGCGTTTCCATCCTTATCTTCGACTCCAGCTGCGTAGAGATCCGTCTGGAGATTCTGGGGAAGGCTGTCTTGTAGTAAATACTCTCGTAGGAACCGAAAGGGAATGAAAACAGCTTGCACTCAATCTCCACGTAACTAGCTGGTAACCAAACGGGCTTGTTCTTTGGCCGTAACACCGAACTAGCGTTCCCCCAAAGGATTCCCAGCAGCCTTCTCCATAACGATATATTCACTTCCCACTTCGTTTTCTACGTGGGAGGACCAAGGCATAAACTCGTGGAACGGGTATCCCCTTTGAGCGTAAAAAGTCCACCCCACAGTGCAACTTCACTCTCCGTCGCGAGTCTTTTTGGAACTGCGATAGAGTATGGGATCTTGACGATGACCTCAAGGCCACCAATCCATGGTAAGAAGCAGCACCCTGTTGAAGCCATCGTCAGCAAGTTTCTTCATATGGACAACTCTTTCCCGGTGTACACTTTGAGCAGTGACCTTCTTAAGGGCCTCAATATTTGAACTCGACATATCATTCAGCAAGTCGAAGTTTCTCGTTGTAGAGGTAGCGGCCACAACTATAGGAGAAAAACTCTCGTCTAGGTCACGGCAGATTCGCGGCCACTTCGCTCATCGTGGATTGGTGTTTAACGAAGGAAAGACTGCAAAAAATGGCTTGGGTGGTGGGAACTGGTGCAAGATACATAGAAAAGAGTAGCGACCGAGCCTGGAGGTAAAGGGGCTGAAATGTCGCTGGCCTTAATCTCGCCAGCATCTCCAGTGTCGGTGATAAAAAATTCATATATCAAGCAACAAGACTCCAAAAGGCCAAAAAAAAGAGGAGCATTCCATGCAAGGGAGTTTCCCTTGCTGCCAAGCATTTGATCTCAAGAGAGTGTGAGAGAACACTGCACCTATCAGGGAGCACAGTACAGTACAGTGATGTGTTGAAGAATGAATATTCCATTACTTCATTAACATTTTTCATTGAAGTTTGTGTTGCTTCTAATGAGTCTGAATAAACATTGTGTGCCTGCATCTCTTTCACAGAGGTTCTTGACCTGAAGACATCTTCACTATCATGTAAGTTAACTATTTAGCTAGTTAGTTACAAATGAGAGCTTGTGAGGTGAATTCATTATTCTCAACTAACTATATCTATAAGCTAGTTACATGCAACTGGTGACATACATTATTTAGTTAGTTACTAGTTAATAAGTTAACTACTCAGTAACTCTCAGTAACTACTCATTATTATTTCCTTCTGTATAATCAACACTTGGCCTGTATTTAACATCACATAAGAACTCATCATAAGCTTCACTTGTATATAAGTATAATGAAAGAATAATCTCTCTATATATCTCTCTATATATTATAGAAAAACCAACTTTTCTGAGTAAAATGCCCTGTAATGTGACCTTACATAATATCACATATATCTCATTAAAATGAATTCATCTGAATAGCCAGCTCTGCAGTCTGTACAGCTCTGATATTAATCTTCATTCTTTTCTTTACAGACATTCTCTACTGTATTTACATTCTTTATACTCTTCTCTACATTCATTTCAATCTATATATTTATTAATATACTCATTTCATGCACTGCTACTTAATATATAAGAATTCTCATTCTCTCAGCATGTTTAAACAGTCTTAATTTAATACATTATTCTGTACATGCTCTACATACTGTTAAGCTCAATATTATACATATCAGTTATATTCAGTTCAAATCTCTTATCTATCATTGAGAAATGTAGTTACTTTTATACTTAACTCACAGCAAGTTAAGCTGTTACACTGTGATATATACTGTGAAGATTATTCATCTCATCTATTTTACACTATTAATCATATCTTCAAGAACTGTAATAACTGTCAGACTCTCAATCATGAATATATCTGTGATATTAAATACTGTTATTTAATAGCTATTATAGCAGTTGCTGCAGCAGATGAGTCTGTTAATTATATAAATACAGATTCACTGAAGCAGCTGACTCTTAATAATCTTAACACTTAAACTAGCTTAACTATCTCTGAACTAGCTATTAATTCTTCAATTACTCACAGCTACTAATCTATTCTCTACACCTTTCACTTCTATATCTATTATTATCAATTACTTAATTTTAACTGAATAAATATCTACTACTCTGTCTACAGAGCTAAGTATTAAATTAATGAATATATACACAGATTATCAAAGACTTTCTCAGTGTTTTTCATATACTGTGTAAAAGATGCTATAAGACTATTATCTATTAGAGAACTCTTATCAGAGTTATATAAGCTATTTAATAATAATACAGCTGATATAAAGTATTTTTATAAGTATATTCAGAACTACAAATCTGTTCTGACATTTATATCTTTTAAGTATAAGTAGAATTCATATTTGAGTTATCTGACTACTAGCAGTCTGATACTATTTTAAATACAGAGAAAACTCTATTATCTGTAAGAATTATTAGAGTCTGAGTCAGATAATAATATTTATTTTATACAAATATAAATTCATGATCTACAGATTAGTATGAGTATTATAAATAATATAAACTCTGTTATATATTCTAGTATATTTAATTATATTCATATTATATTACTTACTATTCATTTATTTACTTTTTCATATTCTTCTATTATATTGTTAACTGCTAATATTTCTAAGATTAATTCTTTTATTCAGCTTTATCAGTCTATATAAGAGATATTACAGAACAGTTCTACTATGTATATCAGTTTAAATTCTATTATACAGCTGAAGATAGATAATGATTACTATCATAAAAATCTATCTACTATCTCAGAAATTATAGTTATTATATAGAATACTTCTAACAGTATCTGTCATCTCTGTATTATTCTTCTAATACTATAATAATCTGATGCTGACTTGAGTCTTATATATATTAACTCTTACAGTTTATTATATCTTTCACTACATTATATTCTACTTTTTTCTTCAGAAGATCACAGCTGATATATTAATATAAACATGCTTATACATCTCTTACCTGTCTGTAATAGCTCTGATGATGATAATATTAATAATACTGTTGAGAATGAAGATGAGTATAACAGCTGTAACCTGACTCTGTGTATATAGTATATATATAATCTTTTTTAATAAGATGATGTTAATACTTCTCTTTTCTAAGTCAGATATCTATTTCAGCAGTATTTAATTAATATCTATATAAATATTAATAAATAGCAGCTGAACTGAGTTCATACTTATTAATCAGAAATTTATATAGATTAATATAGTGATCTGTATAATACTATACAAACAGATAATACAGACTATGAGCAGCTTAGTCACTGTGTAATATTATCTACTTCTCATACAGACAGTGAATATTTTATATATAAACTGTTTCAGAATTCTATGATAATTATCTTCAACTACAAATGCTCAACTCTTTTCATTATATTTATAACTAACTCTGAGTGAAAGAAGATTATCTATAAGTTACTCTCTGATCAGACTGCAGTGAACTGTTCAGATTTAATTATATATATTTTTATAATAAAGATTTTTCATTTTCTTAATATTTTCAAATTCAGACAGCTGTTCAGATCAATATTAATCAGAGTATGAATAATTAAATATTAAAAACATGAACTGTTTTATATACATCTGTTAATCTGACTAGAGAACTCTGAGTAGTTTTTATAATCTGAGATAATTAATGAAATTATATCTGCAGAGCTGTTAAGCACTACTGAGAATATAAACAGATTAAATGAATTGATTTATAAATTTATAATTCATAATTTATATAATGCTGACAGAATGAGCCTCTGTTATAAGAATGATAGATGTATAAAATATTTTCTCAAAGCTTTTCAGAGTGCTACAGCTGTTGAAGAGAATGACTATTCTCTGTATAGATAGTAGCATGATTTATCTATCTCTTTCAAATGTACTATTAATAATAGTGAGATTGTAATTGATAATTAATGAGTTATTTCATACAATTTCTATCTTATTCATATATATAAAGCTTATATAAATATTGAGATCTGTGCCTCTGTTGAAGTTATTAAATATATTAATAAATACATCTATAAGAGTCTGAACTGCACTATTCTCTATATCATTGACTTTAATAATGAGATTAATATTCAACTACACAGGCATTATATCAGCTCAACTGAGACTATATAATATATATTCATATTCTGTATATATCAGAAGTTTTCATCTGTTGAGATATTATCTATTCATCTATCAGATTATCAGATAATTTACTTCTCTGAATCTGAATATAAAGATTATGAATATATAATCAATCATTTGATAAATAATATATCTAAGTTCATAATATTCTTTATCTAAAACTGTTTATATCTAAATACTCAGTATCTCTATCAAGAATTTCTCTATCATTTTGTTTGAAACAAACATAATCAGAGATGAAAGAACTGTGTGAAGAGAAGATCAGTTAATTACCTGTCTCATCTCAGTTCATATAATAATAAGATGTTCTTTTTACAGCTTCTTCTTATTAATATACATAGTCTCTCAAGCTTTGAGACTCTGTGAACAGTGTATGATGTTTGCTACTCTACATTCTGTATAGCATGCCAGATACTTAATCTTCTGTATAATAATAATAAGTGAATTATTACATTTGAATCTGCTGTTGTATTTACAACTGCTTATCACATGTGATCAGTATTCATCACTGTATTAATTCATGAGAATATTACAGATTCATCTGCTCTCTGAGTACATTTTCATTATACTCTCTGTAATAATCTTTCATATTAACTGTATCAGATAAATTCAGACTGTATTAACAATACTTCTTCAGAAGATTTATATTATAACTATAGTCTGTTTCTTATTCAGCAGCTTCTGTATAAGTTTGATAAGACTCTTACAGACTTCAACCTGTCTGCATACAGCTCTGTATGAGATAATCTTATTGAAAATCAGCTACTTTTTAAGAAGTAGAACTACAATCTTATAGAGAAAATCATCACTGCAGATACTCTGCAGACACAGTTGAATAATAATTAATATCATGCATATAATTCAATTCTGGCTGTAATAGAATTACAGTCATCTCACTATTTTATACAGAGTTTAGATAGCACTGATAAAACATTTCTTTACAGAGCTCTCTATAGCTGTCTATATACAGGTGAAAAAACAGTTCTTTATATAACTTTCTCTGACATTGCAGCTGTTCTTTTGTCATATAATAGAACAGCTCACTCATGTTTTATCATCTTACTTGAATTAAATGCAGATTTCATGTCAAAGATAACTATTCACAGTGAACTGAGTCATCTGCTGCAGACTGTGAATTTAATTATTTAAGATAAGACTCTCATACAGTATCACTATTATATGAAGATTGTTAATTATCTTCTTCAAGATTTACATTTATCAGATAAGCTTTTTAATGATATCTCTGTTATATTTAATAGTGATTTTATACAGACTCTGTCTATTATGTTATGTAATAGTCATGCTGCAGTTATTACAGCTTGTCTGCAGTATTTATATA